CGAATTGGCCTCTCTTGCCGCGGGAGTGTGGGTGCCACACGGGCTGGGGATAGGGGAGAGAAGAGAGAAAAGGAATTGAGCGAGTGAAATGTGGACCCGGCGAGGGCAGGACCCCAAATGCCCGATCGGTCAACACCACCACCAACCAACCCCCCCCCCCCCGCCCCCAAGAAATCAGCTGTCCTAGACCAACCGGGGGAACACACATGACTCCAGGCCCCTGTAGTCAAGTTCGTACCTGTCCGCTGAAAGGGCCCAGGTGAGCCCCTCGGTTCAAGGTGGGGGTTGGGGGTGGCGGGGAGAGGTGAATAATTTGGGGAGTCAGGGAATTGGAGACGGAAGTTTGGGGGGCGGCGGGGGGTAGAAGAGGGAGGGACAGGCGGGAATGTGGGCTGGAGCCGCAGGTGGATCAGTCAGTGTTTTGAGGGGCACGCCTCACAGTGACACCCACATCCCACACACGTGGTTTGCTAAATAAAACAAACAAACAAGCACCTTTCGGGTTCCACGGCGCATCATCACTGTTCCGCCTCCTCTTATTCCGGGACTTTGAGGCCGGGTCATCTTCGTCAGACTCGAGTGATGGATAAACTGAAGGAGGTGGGGGCAGACACAGGGAGGGAGGGAGCGGGGAAGAGAGAGAGAGAGAGAGGGAGACGATCAGCTTCCGACGCCCTCTGCTAGGAACGTGACTCGACACCCTCCCCCCCCGGGAGGGAGGCTGAGGGACCTGCCCCAGGAACAGGGAGCTCGAGAGATTTTACAGAAACAGTTTGGAACTGCTCAACACCCCCACCCACACCGAGACTGAACACTCCCTCCCCCAGACCATCCAGGACTGGCCGCACACCTCCCACCTGGGACCTGGCACACCCGGACCTGCTGACCCCTCCACACCACCCTCCATTCCCACCCCAAGGCCATCTGGGACCGACCTCCGTCCCAGACCAGCTGGGACTGACTGCCTACTCCGGTAGGGACCGTCTGGGAGATTCCCACCACCCCCACCCTGGCTGATCGATGGGATTTCCCGCTGGACGTTCACCGCTCCCCCCACTCCCCCCCACAAAGGAGCCAGTGCCTCACCATAATCGGAATCCTTGAAGCAGGCTCCAAGACTCTCCTGCTCATCGTAGCTGTCCTCGTCGCTGGGCACGGTCTGGTTTCCCGGCAGCTCAGCATTCCGGTTACTGGGGGGCTGTCCCGGCCTCACCCTCTTACCCCCCAAACCCGATACCGAGGAGGGAGGAGGGAGCCCTCCGTTCCGTTCCTGCCCGCTGCTCCACCAGGCCTGCAGGCTGGAGCCTGGGGTCGACTGCAGGTTGGCCATACACAACATGCCCTGGATAGCCTCCTGTGTGCTGGGGGAGGCAGGGGGCTGGCTGCTTGGGTTGGCGGGGAAAAGAGAAGGTAAAGGAAAGAGAACAAACACGAAGATCAGATCGAACTGTGGCTGTGCGAGCTTTTATTTTGACTTTAACATCTCATCACGTAATACAGTATTTCTCTCAGCGCTGACCCTCCGACAGCGCGGCGCTCCCTCAGCGCTGACCCTCCGAAAGCACCCACCCTCCAACAGCACCCGTTCCCTCAGCGCTGACCCTCCGAC